ATAGTTTGAGCTTCTTTCTGCATGAAATCCATCCTGAAGTTTGGTGTACCTGGATAGCTCTTTCCCTAAGTGCAGAGCAGACTCTTTTGTAAACTGCTGACCTATAAATTTGAGATTTCTGAGTTCAGCATTTTTGCATTGTCCTTGCAAGGTGAAAGTTTTCTGTGAGTGTGTGACATTTGGGCACCTGCAGTGGCCTACTTTACCAAAAGTTTGAAAGGATTCAAGGTTTTGTCACAATTCGTGAGGCATTGATGCTAAAAATAGTGGAAAATGTTTTTCTGTGAGAATAGAGTGGATTCAGGAATATGATAGAAAAAACTTGGGCATTCTGAATGACAGAAATCATGGAATGTTAAGGGGCTGGAAGGGACCTTAAAAATCATCTCATCCCACCCCCCTGCCATGTGCAGGAACATCTCCCACTAGACCAGGTTGCTCAAGGCCTTATCCAACCTCTCCAAATATTTGCAAGTAATGGCACAGTTACTTCTAAAGCTCTTTTTTGTACTACTATATTTAGTCTGGTGTTTGTGCTGCTGAATAAGGTTTGTTGAATTTGGATTTGGAGACCCTTAGGAAAAGTCTGGACACTTTAGAGATGCCTAATGGATATTGTAACCTCTCAGCCCTGCAGTGGATTGGCAGAATTAATTCATGTGGACAAAGCTGTGTAATTTTGCTTTGAGTCTTTTTTGTGTCTGTGTAGCTTTGGTTTGCTTGGGTTTTTTTATTTTTTTTGGTTTTTTTTTTGGGGGGGGAGTGTTTTTTTGGGGTGCTTTTGTGCCTCTGTCTCTGGTAAGAAGGTATGCACAGTGGTATAGGTCACAAAAATCCACCAAATAATGTTTTAGTTAAAGGGTAAGATTCCACAGAAGTAAATAAAAATGAATTATCCCTTATTTTGACAGGTAGGTGTGGACCTGTGATCAGGGAATATGGGGTGGTCTCTGAAAGGAGAAATGGCTACCCAAGGGCTTCTCCAAACCACTTAGAGCCCTAGAAACCTGTTAAAGCCATATTTAATTCAGTGAATTTGAGTTTTAAAGCTGATGAATTTAGTGCTTAACACTGAGTCACCTGTTGTGGGGTTTTCCTTGTTAGCAGAGTTCTGAAGAAGGAACTGTATTTATTTATTTTCTGGATATTTAGAAGTCAGATGTAGGTTTGTTCTACTATTTTAGAAACCATTTCATACTCCATGGAAAGGTGTGCAGAAATAATTATCATTGTGCATTTTGCRCCGTGGAGCAGGGGGGCTTCTTCCCTCTGTAGTGTCATGTATRGGATTCTTGGTTTCCTGGTGACATTTTACTTTGTTACTGTTTACCAGTSAAAAGGCCAGTCCTGTGCTGGAGTACACAGATGCAGAGATACACAAAGATACACTTGTAATCAGAGTTTTGCAACTGAGTTTATTTCTGTTGTGTTACAAAAGCTGCCCCGAAACAGAAGAAGGAAACTTTCAGAATCGGAATGGGTCTTATCCCATGCTGCTGGATCACAAACAAATTATTCCTGGTGAACCAGTGAGGAATTRCTGTCAGGCAGGACATGTGATGGTCACTTCATGAGCTGTCACAGCAAAAACAGATCCACCCTCTGCATGCCAAACTGAGTCAAGTGCAGCTCTCCAGCCGGGATCGCTGCCATCCACAGGCAAAACAGGGTGATGAAATGATTGCTGGCAATCTTAATCTGCCACGTCAGTGTTGTAATAATAATAATAATAATAATAATAATAATAATAATAATAATAATCAGGATCTTTTTTAGCAAGCTAATGTTGTGTTCTTAAAAAAAGATGGGATTCTTCTTGCTGGTTTTGACTGGCATTCTCTAAAGTGGGGCAGGTTGGCTTTCTCTTGGTGTTCAGGGTGATCTGTTCAGTAGAGGCAGTCTGGGTTTGTGCCTCTGGTGTTTGTCCTGAAACTCCCTTTTCACGTCAGTTCTGCATCTTGCAGTCCTTTCCATCCATCTTTGCAAGTGCAGGAGCAATCCAGCGAGACCTCAGCCTTACAAAACCAGGGCACGACGTCTCCAGAGCTCTGGGAGTGCTGCTCTACTATATTTGGAACCAGCTCTATTGCTTCTATAATAGGAAGGCTTCTGGAAGCTTTCTCCTTCCTCTCGCCCCAAGAAAGTGGCCTTTCAGCTGAGCTTTCATTAATTCACAATCTGCATGGCAAAACAAATGTGGTTTTATAGGCTAAATAATTCAGATGTGGCTCGTGGGTCACATGGCCTCGATTGGTGTGTTCAGGGAGGATTTTTGCCCTGTGAGCTGAGGGTGCAGCAGCCACAGCCCCACTCAGCAGGGCTTTGCCACCCCCAGTTTGTCATTCGGGGCACGCRACAGTGCCAAGGGGTGCCAAGGCAGCTTTCTAGAAAGCAGARTGCTSTGTGAGCCCCGTGTSTTTGTCACCAGAGCTGCAGCAGCWCTGCCCAGTGAGGGATTTACTGGTTTTGTTTTCCTCTTGGATCAAGCAGAACAAATCTAATGAGCCAGTTCTTAACTTCTTCCCAGCTGAGCAGCGAGTGATGTCCTTACCCAAATTGTGCAAGACAGCTGAAACCTTTCAGGAACAGCTGAACAAGGGAAACACTTGTAATATTATTTTTTCCCAATACTCATGCAGGGCTAAGAGGGTGCAGCAGAGCTTGTCTTTCCTTTATTTTCTTTTTCTCTTCTGAGATTTTCCTTTTGAGGGGACGACTGAGTCGTTCCAATGCTTACCCCACCTAGAGAGAAAGCGTGTGAGCTATGAATGTGGAGTCTTCCATTCTTCATTGATGTGATCTTGGAAGGAAAACAGGTTCTCCCTGTAGTGCTTCATTGGAATAAGCATTTCACATGCTTATCAGTACAGCAAATAGTGCTGTTTGACAGCAGTGAGGAGTCAAATGTTGCCTTGGAGCACTACACACTCATTTCCCCACTTCCAAAACACTGGATTTTGCCCACTGTGCTTTCAGAAGTGTTCCTTCCCACTTATTTGAAAGAAGCTAAAACTCACTTTGTAGCAGACACTTTTTCCAGCACAGTTCCAGGTGTGGGTTGGAGTTGGCTGAGTCCAGTCTGAGTTTCTGAGAACTTTGTCCTTCTGGGCTTTGTGAGTTCCTGCYAGATCTGGGGTAGGAGGGTTTGGGAAGCTGATCACTTTGGGTTACTTCTGTCCTGGTCCAGCTCTTGAGCAGATTCAGGTGAGAAATCAGACAGGAAAGTAGTGCTGGTAAAGGGGAAGGTGTGAAAGACTAAACAGCCCCTGGGGCTGAAAGACTAAAAAGCTCCTGGGGTCTTTCCTCATAAGAGAGATGCCCCAGACCCCTCACAGTCTTTGTGGTCTCCCCTGATTCCCCTTACATGGGAATCTTCAGTTTTCATTTCAATTGCTGCTCTGTCTGCTGTGATCCAAGGATGGGAGCTTGGAGGAGCTTTGAGMAGGAAGGGCTGGAGTGAATTTGGTGGGGAAATGAGCTGAAAGCAATGGTAACCAGGTTCTGCTGCTTTGCCAACTCTGGTTCCTGATGCCTAGAAGTGCAATCAGCTGGTTTTAGTGTGGGAGTAGACACAGGAAGCTCTCCCACATTTATTCCAGCTGGAGCCCRTGGCAGCTTTATTGCCTTTAAATCAGATAATATCAGATCTGATTGACCATCAGACAGAGGGGAAGCTGAGCACACAAGGTTTCACAAGGCAAACTGCYTCTACTGGCTCTTTCAGTATTAAAAGCAATTCTTCAAGGTGTTTTATATATGTGGATATAACCTAAAAAATGGTTAAAAAGAAATGGTTGTGTTCCTATAGGTGTCTTAGCAGCTGAAGACCTGGGGTATCATCTCACTGTCACAATTAGTCTGAGAGCTGCTGTGGATCATTCCCAGTGGGGACCAAGGCTGATCATCGTTCCCAGTGGGAATGCTGGGATGAGGAAAAGCTTTCTGCCAAAGCCTCTGGCTGAGGAGGTTCTGGTGCTGTTATRGTTTGGGGTGTTTGAGGAGGGGAGGGAGGGAATGGCAGAATTTTATGTCTGGTGAATTACGCTTTTGGAGACAAGGATCAGGGGACAACCTAAGCTTGAGCTCAGTGGTGGGGGAATGGACACAAAACTTAGCTCTTGCAAGAAAACAAAACCCCTTATCTCTATTATAAAGCCCCAACAATGACTTTTTCYACCCTTATGACTGCTTTTGGAATTRACTCCTCTGAGTTCTGCTCTGAAACACTTGCTGCTGCTTCCTTCAGCATCCTGAGTGTGCTGATGCTCTTTGCCCAGCTGACCCGGTGTTACATCCCTATGGAGCATCCCAGAGCTTGAAGCTGTGTGAAGCTGGGTGGTCAAATATGTTTTTACACGTGTTTTTACCAACAGGGTGATTGTTGCTCACACTCCGTCCCAAGGCCACAGTCTTCTTTCTAGAAAGTAAATTTTCTGAGAGGATGTGCCCACCCTTTGAACTGGTTTGTTGATCAGTTACTGTTGCTACAGCTAAAACACTCTCACTCCTGCGCTTATCAAAATATCGAAAGCTGGAGTGATTTGCTACAGAATGAGGAGACCTTGACTCCAGCCTGGTGGAGCTGATACATTTGTTTCCCTGAGCTGCAGCAGTGTTCAAACCTGCTGATAAGATGGGGAGTTTTGTGGGACCGTTCCCTGAGCTGCCGTCCGCGGCTGAGAGGATGTGATGCTTTCTGCTGCCAAAACCCGAGTCCTTCCCACATCTTGTGCAGAGAGGCATATGTTTGGGGGTGGTTTCAGAGAGGGAGAAGAACACGATTAGGGTTTTAACTTCCTCTTCTGTTTTGTTTCTCTGTGCATCTGTATTKCAGTTTTTCGGGCTGTACCCGACTCTGTGCAAAACTAACAAATCGGCTGCAGCTCCTTCTGCTAAGGATCAGCCTTGGTACAGAATCAGTGGTAGTTAAAAGGCAGTAAGTATTTCTGCTAGCTTAAATGCTGGGATTTTTTTCTCTTTTCCTTTTATTTTTTTTTTTTAATTCACAAGCACAGCTTTTTACTCCTCACACAGTAGGAATTTGTCAGGAGCTTGCTGGCATTAATAGACTATTTCAGCTCTTTTCTATRGCCCAGCAGCTACAGAGGGGGGGAAAAAGCATGCTTTGTATGGAGCTGTGGTTGGGTCCGTGCTGCAGTGCCCATCTGAACTTGGCTGTGTCTATTTTGTCAGCTTTTGCTTCCCTCTAGTAGTTGCTGGTCCCTCCCAAAACTCATGAAATCCCACCATACAATGCCTGTGCTTGGATCAGGGCTGTGGCTGCTCCTGACCYGAACCACTTCCCTTGATGGTTTTGCTTTTCAAACTCTTTACTGCAAACAAGATATCTGTGGGTTTCAATTCTTTGTCTGGCTTTCAATCTTTACTTTTCAATCTCCAGATGAGTAGGACTAGGACAAAACATGTGGTGTCCCTAACCAGGGATCCATGGAGAGGGTTTAAGCTATTGGAAAAGTGAGTGGCATTCTTGAAATGGTGTGGTTGTGTTTATTTGGGTGTGGATATAATCATGTTTCTGTGATACAGTTCCTGCTGAGTCTGAAATGCTAGTGTCAGTAAAGCCAGAAGGAGAGCCAGACAAAAGCTTGGAGAAAAGTCAGAATTTCGGTGCCTCTTACTGATGGTTCATGGGAAAGTAACRATTTTGTGTTTGACTTTGATTTTCCTAAAGCACTGGGCATATGCTTTTTCTCCTCTGTGAATTACTGTTTGTGAATATATATCTTTGCAGCATCAGAACACCAGAAACAGCTGGTTTTTGTGCCTAGGTTTCACTCATAGAGGTAGGTCCTTGCTACAGACCCTGGGTAGCCTGATGAAAATGGTGTTTAATTACAAAGCTTCAATTCCTGCTGTTGCTGATCACGGCAGCCTAACTCCTGGTCTTGCTGAATCCCTGGAGCAGAGGACAGGCTCTGCTGCTCTGCCATTGCCATGCCTCCATCTCCTCCACCCCACACATTTCTTAGCCCTGTGTAGAGCTCAGCAGAGATTTCTTCATGAAGCCTGGAATGTGTTTATATAATATTTTATATATTATTTTAGGCTCCTGCTACTCATATGTAGGCAAACGCTTAACCTCTTACTCTCCATCATTAGACGAACCGTGAAATTGCTGTAGCAGGCATCAAGTCAGGTGGATCTAAACCAGCTTGTGTTTTTCCTGCCTGGAAGGTTYATCCTTCATCATTTTCCTGGCAAGTGTGGCTACCAGGAGCAGGTTTTCCAGRCTGGGAGTGTTTAGTGGGAGCATTGATTGTGAACCACACTGGTCAAGCATTGATGAGCCGAGCTGGGAGTAGTGGGGGCTCTTCTGCATGGGAGGTGATGGGAAGGGGGTGATGTGAGAGGCTCCATTTCTGCAAAAGCGAGGGTAGGACAGCAGTGGGAACACTGGGCAAAACTGCTGAAAAGGAGAGAACAACCTGCTGCACTAAATCACAGCTCCCCTGGGRACACAGCTCCATAGTTAGCATCCTCAAATGGCATTCCTTCATTACGGCATCATTGTGCACAGCCCTCTAGAGAGGAAGCAAACGGTCTCTAAAACAATCTGCTGGCAGCTCAGACTGGAGTATTTGAGGTTTTCCAGGGCTCTTTTGCTGTGTCACTCTTCCCTTTAATGTTCCAGCTCRAAGGTTGTTGTTCTTTCTCCATCAAAGTGCGTTAAAGCACCGGTGAGAGTGCCTGCWCCAAGGACAAGGTGTAGAAGGCAGCAGCCCACGGAGAACAAGAGATACTGCAGAACAGCTTTGTTTTGGTGTAATCTGTCTTATCTGCATGTGATGCAAAGTCAGGGCAGTTTTCCCAAGACTCAGAGGCTGTGTGGTGACATGTTTTCTGTCCTTTTATGAAATCCACCACGTTATTTTGATTAGAGCGCTAACGTAACTCCTGGCAGCCTCAAATCTCACTGCTAGCAGCTACTTCCCTCCAAAGCCTGATGTGGTGCTAACAAGCAGAGGGATCTTGTGCGTCCTGTTTACATGGAGCTGGGAAGACAGCGTGTTCCGTGGGAGGTGCCAAGGTAGCGCTGCAGTGGAATATAAGGTGAAAAAACCGTGTGTGCAGCCAGGCTGTGGTGGGGCGTGTTAATTTGTGTTTAGTGGTGTTCAGGAACTCCAGCTGCAATACTGGCATGATGATGTTCAGTTCTTTYCTCTCTGAATATGTATCCTTTATATCTATGCATGCGTAGCATGTTTGTGTTTGTCTATATTTATATGTATATATTCTCTCTCTTGGAAAAGTCCATATGCTTGTGATCTTCTCACACAGCTCTCCTTTGTTCAGTTTTTAGGTGGTAGAGACACGGTGAAGCTGCGTGTGGGGCAGGCAGAGCTGATGGGGRAGCCTGGGGTGTAGCCCAGGATGGACTGGCTGTGACGACGACGTGCCTTAGCCGGAGAGGTCGTTACCATGAAGAGTTCCTGCAGAGCTGGACTCCACAGGGAACCGCTCAACTCCACATCCTCCACCTTCCACCAAGTCAAACGGTACGAACAGCTCTGCAGATGAGCATTCAGCACTGGTTTGAGCCTTCTCCAATTGTCTCGTGCTGTCACTCAAATGCTTGCTCTAAATTCTGACTTTCGGRTAGTGTTTCAGTGAAACGTTGTAATGGCTTAAGGGCAGAAATGTTCTTTGACGTTTTTATTTGATAATGACAACTACGGATTCCCTGCAGCTGGCAGCGTACTTGGAGAAATCGTTGGGTTTTCTAGCAACAGCTGTAAATTAGTTTGGGAAACGTGACTTTGAAGTAAAAGTTAATTGGCGAAAGGCTCGTCAGAGTAGGCTTTAAAACATGCAGGCAGCTTAAAGCAAGTGGAAATGCTGGCAGTCATTGTTGTGGTTTGCCTTACTATGGACTAAGTAATTAGATTAGTTTAAGCTCAGATTTTGCACTGCTCACTCTCCTGTGTCTCTTATTAAGGAGAAATGCACGATTGATTTCAAACACTTGTGCTTATGTGACAATTAAGTGAACGCCTCTCACTGTGTCCCCTTATAGGAACACCGTGCAGAACAGCTTGTCCTCATGCAAATGCRAGGACATGCCAGTTTGTATGAGTTCAAACTACTTCAAAATATATGTGTATTTTTTTTTAATTCTTTTTCTGAAACCAAGGCTCTTAAACTTCCTCAGTCTGGAGGAAGAGCGCCAGCTTTTTGGTTTCCAAAGGCTGTGTGGGTTTAAAGCAAACTTTTAACCTTTGTTCTTTGTGGTTGTGTAGACAGCATATACTTGCTATGTTAGTCTCATGGTAATTTAGTACTGGAAAAGACTTCCTGGGTCACCCAGCTCTTYACTTTCCCAAGCAGGATCTCATAATCTCTTTTGCGAACTTAGTCTGGCCTAAAAATATTTGCATCTTCTCTTCTCCCATAGATTAAGCCATTACTGAAGATGACAGATCTTGCTGTGCAATAAGGAACCTTCTTTTCATTCCCAGACTGAACATTSATGACAGTTTATATACTTGTTTGAGTTTCTGTTCCTTTATTTTCCTTCTGCATAAGGACCACTGCTTATTTTCAGTGGTTTACCTCTTCTTCTGCATTCTGTGAAATGGGCTTTTGCTGTGCTAAGTGACAYAAGTGTTCTCCAGTAGCTTCTTGAGTAGCAATTGCTGTTTTTCTCATAGAATAATCTCAGTCCTGGCTAAAAGTATGTGCTGTGCTCTGGAGCAGGGCTGGCTGGAGGGCTTCTCACTGCTGTCACAGCATCACCTCCACTTCCCCATTTCATGGATGTCTCTGTGGTGGCCAGTTCACCTCAGTTAGTTCCAAGATTTATTGGTGTTCCTCTTGCTGGTGCATCACTGTATTTCAAAACCCTCCTCAGTTCCTCTTGCTTGGAGCTTTGTGCCTCTGCTGTTTTGGAACTGCCTSTATTTCTGTGGGGGCAGAATTAGTGCTGAGGTCATTCCTAACAAAATCAGATGTTCCCAGGGCTGATTCTTGAAGCATGTCTTTGGTTTCCAGGCTGGTATTTTCTTATTCAGCATCACCTGGGGCTGTCTGCTGCTAAGCCAGCTCCTTTGTCTGTTTTCCCATTCCTCTGCCAATCTGTCTTAACCAGTAAATCTCYTTGTGCTCTCTGAAGTCCATGTGAGCAAGATATAGTAGATTGGTCTAAAAAGATGGCTTTTTTTTGAGAACCTTGAGGTTAGTCTGGCATATTGAACTATTCCCTCTTCCCCCTTTTTCTCTGTGTCACATTAATCCTCTTTGCTTGCAAAGCACCTTTATATTGGAGTCAGAATACGAGCCCTGGAGAGGCTGCGATCATTCTCCTTCTCTTTCTCCCCTGCAGTGCCCCCTCCAATGTGCCACATGTTTATTATCTCCTATTGTTGCCTTTCAAGAGGTTTATAAATCCTGTTTCTTGGCCTGCAGTGCGTGAGCCTATCTGGTTTGGATTCTAAAACTGGGATGAGCCAATCCTCACAATTTTTATGAAGCTCTCTAATCCTCCGCCTGCCAATGCTCTTGTTCAGATTAACGCCTGGGCTTTTGCCCTCACCATCACCCTTACCACCCCTCTTTAAAAATGGTGCAGAATCAAATTTGGTATTTTGTGTTGTACTCTTGATCTCTGCCCTGTCCTTGTTTGCAGCTCTGTTTCTCTTTTTCCTCACAAACTGAAAAAAAAAACCCTTTCACTATTTCTTTGTTGTTAAATATCTCTGCAATGACTTAACACTGCACCAGTTCTCATGTTTATTCCCGGACTTTTTGATCTCTAAGATGGAAGTTTCCAAGTGATGTGACCTGAAACCTGCATCTGTTTCTGAAGAAGGATCACCTCCAGTTGGARTTGCTTTGGATCTTGTTTGGGAGGTGTTCTTAGTAATGAAAACACCTTCTGACTCCTGGAGAATGCTGTATGCAGTGAAATCCTTCACACCACAGCTGACTCCATGAACCAGYTTCTGTCAGTCTTGAGTTTCAAAAGAGCAACCTGATAACTTGCCTTCAGCTCTSCTTTTGCTTATTTTTTTCTTTTGAATGCTGAGTCTGTTACGGATCGTGTGGTCCAAGGTTAATTTCTACAACCTTTCATGTGTTCTCATTAYGTATGCACAAAAATGGAGGATATAAATAGCATCACTCTGTGTTGGTTCGTTAACAGAAGAAATTCACTGCACTGTGAGATGAAGAAARATCTTGCTCCTCTTGCACTTCATAAATCAGAAAACAAATTAACAAAGGTAAAACATTTCCAGAAGGAAACGTGTCACTCACCTGTGCTGCTCTGGCCAGCTTTCARCAGAAGCCCTGTAAAAACCACCAGTTTTTGTCTTGCTGTCCCTCTGTGATTTCCTCTCATCCTATCCCACCACAGCCACGTGTGCCATCCCATCATCTCTGAGCTGCACATTTCTGGAGCAGCTGATAACCTTGAATTCCAAATCATTCTGTTTATTTTATTCCCTTTTGCTTTGTTATCTCTGTGTCTGGTCTGGTGTGGTTGGGAAGCAGAGCTTTGAGCTTCCTGAGGCTCAGCAAAGAATTGCTCCTACATCACTCCCTTCACGGTAAGTGCTTTTACACAAAAGCCTGGCAAAGCACTGGCACTTCTTCCTGTACAAAATTCAGAAAGCAGCCAAGGCAACTGTGCTTTACTAAAGGGTGTGTGTGTGTTTAGTGTAAAATGTGTTCAAAATATTGATGGGTGGAGGCCTCAGACTGGAGTGGTCTGTGTGGGGTTTGGGGGTGAAATGTGTCACCCACTCTGTGTGCTGGTGGTGATGGGCTGTGAGTGCTGGATTTTCTGAGTGCAGCTGCATTTGGGTGTTGTCTCCCCCAGAGTTATCTGAGCACCTGACACAGGTGAACGAGCTGGGGAGGGATCCAGCGTCAGGAGTTTGGTTCTTATGTTGTGTTTAGCTCCTCAGCTCTTCTGGGCCAGCTCTGCCCCACGTTTTTGGCATGGTTCCACTTCCCCCAGGCTGGCCAGTGGAGCAGAGAGCTCTCCTTCAGCAGCCACAAGCCTTCTGTTTGCCTTCAAATCCTGCTCTAATCCTCGCTGGCTCTCCCTTTGCTGCACGAGGTGTTGGGAGGTGGGACAGGAACAGCTGCTGCTCCAAGGGGAGTGGGTTTTCAGGAAATCAGATGCTTCCACAGCTGCCAGAGTCCAACCCAGCCCTGCTCTGGAGCATGGTGCTTCCCAGCCCTCCTTTCTCCACATTTGGACCCTTGCCATGCTCCAGAACAAACTCCATGAGCAGCAGAGCTCCTTCCACCCTGGGACTTTCCCTCCCCGGCAGAATCCGTGGAATGCCTTTGAAGCAGCTCCCTGTCTGCTTTGCCTTGCCCTGGCAGTGCAAAGGGGATGGAAATGGTACTGGAGATGGAGCCCAAAGGACCCACCAAGCCCTTCCAGAAATAACAAGTGGTTGACCGTGGTTAACTCCCACTCAGTGCTCAGTCCTTGCTAATTGTCAGTGTCCTTTATGGAAGAGGAAACCTCTGTGGACATAGAACTGGGATGCCAGGGAAGAGAAATGCTTTGCCAGAGGTGTGGAGCTTTTTATTGTTGTTGATTTTTTAAAAATTTTTGGCTTTTAGCTTGTATTAGTATGTCCTGAGAGTTTCTCAGAGTTGTGGTTGGCACTGGGTGTGCAGTCAGCAACGTGAGGAGCTTTTGTCGATTGGAGTTGGTGTTTACAAGGAGAAATCCATAGGAAACTTGGGGGTTTCGATGGAAATTTTCACCCTAATAAAACCTTCCGGTGCTTTGCCCAGAAAACTTGCAGTGTGAATATGCTGTTTGAGAAAATTATGCTTTTTTGTTACTGTTGTTCCTGCTGGCCAGTGGAAATCTTTTGGCTTCACAGGGCATCATCAGAGTCCCTGATCTGAGASCTGCAAAGGGAATTAAGGCTCTCGGTGGACCTTACAAAGGAGTTGTGGAAACTGAGTCTTTCCTACCAGTTTTTCCTCCAMCTCTGGAGTTTCCACTAAGGCAAATATATTATTGTTTTAGGCTGCTGTGATTTAGAATGTACATAAACACAAAAGGATGCAGGAAGATTGTGGCCAGCTTGGCAAGTAGAATCATGGAATGATTTGGGTTGGAAAAGGCCTCAAACCTCATTCCAGCCCATTGCCATGGGCAGGGACAACTCCCACTATCCCAGATCACTCCAATCCCCATCAAGCCTGGATTTGGACACTTTCAGGGATGAGGAATCCACCAGTGGGTTACGGGTCTCCCCCCTTGGGTGGGGGGAAGTGGGCTGTGTGCATGTATGAGCTCTTATAAAGGAATATATTTCTGTATCAACAATGTGTAGCAACCAACTTGATAAAACTACAGTGGAAACAAGCTGTAGTTACGACTTATAAAAACAGCAGTGTCATTCCAGCAGTGCAAGTATCCTGTTTTTCAGACAYGGCTGATTAGAAATAGAAAAACTGGCCCCTTTATTTCATCAGCTTAAGGATGGAATAACAGTATAAAGGCAGCACTGCTCGTTGTTTCAGTGGCTGATCATTCCTGGCAGAATTCTCTCTTATCAGCAATTTAAAACCGCACATTTGGGATTGAAAACCTTTTATGTTTGCTCCCGTGGACTTCTGAAGAGTCGTTGTCTCTAAAGATAAAATTAGAGAGCTTGATAACTTAAAGGGTGGAGGAAAGCAAACAGAATTATTCTGGAATGAAGTGTCRTAGGGAATATGTGACTTCACCTTTTAACGACTATTTTTGGTGGTTTTAAATATTTAAAAGCTTACCTGCAGCTGCCACAGCTCTCTGCTTGCCAGCACTGAGAAACAGGGGAGTCTGTGGGTGGGGACTGGGCTCTGGTTCATCTTCAAAGCAATTTCTGCTGGGAAGCCTTGTTCTAATTCTAGGAGCTAGAGATGAAATGTGCTGCTGACGTGCAGGGAAGAAGCTGTGACTGCTTAAAAGTCCGTTCTCAATGTCCACAGCAAAGGGCKTGTGAGGTGGGGGCTCGTTTTTTCYAAGTGACACTTTCAGGTAAGGCSCATTGCTGAGATGACTTTTAAAATGAAAGTTCTCTTCCCTGCTGCTGGAAAACTCTGAGGCAGGTGGCAGCTGGTCTCGTGGAGTTTGCAGTGCTCTTTATAGCTGTCTGAAGTTATTAGATGAAGGTTTTCTTTAAATCCGGATCCATTTAAACATGTGCAATGAACTGAATGCTGAATTCAAATGAGGCAATTATTCTGGCACTAAAACTTCTGACTAAGGCATAATTTTGTTATGTAAATTATAACTTTTCAACCTTAAATGGTATTGTTGGCCGAGCCAGGAACTAACTGAAACACAGGAGGAAAYACAACCTTAAACAAGAAATCTGTAATAGGTGAGGCAGAACTTTACCCTTTGTCTTTCTCCATAGACCAGAAATAGCTGAGAGCAGCTGAACCAACTCTGCTGGCTGAACATGTCCCCTGAGCCTGTTGGGGTAACCAGTTTGGTTCTGTTTTTATTCATATAATACCTGATCTCACCTTCATTTGCAGCTTCTCTTAATGAAGGGTGTCGAGCTGATTGTCCTGCAGGATTCCTGAAAACTTGCTTGGAGAAAGCCTTTTAAAAACTGAGCTCAGCTCAKCTTTCAAACACCTTGGCATGAAAACTCATGAATGAAATTTGATCTTGTGCTCCTGGCTCTGGAGATTTCAGCATGCAAAGTCGTGTTTTAATTGTATTCACCTCTTCTCCCCAGGGTATGGTGGCGAGCAGCCACCGGAGCTTTTCTCYCTCTGGTCTGGGAAATGTCCTTCTGGAAGGGAAGGGAAGGCTGCAGGCACTGTTCTCTGCAGCAGTTTGCTGCATTGTTTCACCTGCTGCTCCTCTGGGCTGGGCTTTGGCCAGGGCACATCAGGGGCCTGACCCTTCTTTGCTGTGAAGTACAACCAGAATGAGGCAGCCCCGGTGAAAAATGAGGCCGAAGCAAACTCCAGCAGCCTTGATTTGCCATTTTTCTCTTCATGCATCTGTTTCAACACACTGAAGTTCTATTTTTATGGGATTATTTTAGYTTTTAGCATCCGACCGAGGAGGCAAACAAAGTAGCTCAGTTGCATTTTGCAGAGGAGACTAAATTGGGAGTGACCCAGTTCCAAGGAGCTGGAATTGGCACGTGGGAGGCACGGGGAGAGAATTAAACCCAGGGGCTGGGGAGRTGTGTCTGCAGCACTGACATCTCTCACCCCCACAGCATCTAGGTGAGATGCAGGTGGTTTTGACACTGTGRGGTTGCAGGAGCCAGGTGATGATGTCCCTATAAAAATCCAGAGGGAAGGAAYGTGGCATCTGCCTTTCCAGCTGCTGCTTCCTGGCCTTCAGAGCACTGCTCGGACCAAAGGGGTGTGGAAAGGTGAACTAAGCCCTTCCACCTCCCCAAAATCTCTGTGGGATTTGGGATGTACCTCCCCAAATCTCTGTGCCTGCCCTCCCTTCTTGTCACTAGSGCAGAAGGAGGAACCGAACCTTCAGGGAGAGCAGTGGTTAAAACAGCACGGATGCTCCTAGTCCTGGAGGTTTCCTTTGCTTGGGCAGCTTCACTTGTAAATTTGTTGGACTTTATAGACCAACAAATTGAGGTTTTTAGTTAAAAGCTGGTTTTAGGCTGTTAAAAGCTGGTTTTAGGCTAGAAACCTACAAAGTTGCAGTACTTAAGCAGTTCCCTTGGTAGTGGCTCTCAAGGGAAACATGCTCAGTGCCTGAGTGTGTCTGATTCAGCTCATGATGAACGTGGCATTGAACCTGCTGCTYTTCAACTCTCGAGCACAGATCATCCCCAAAGAGGAGGCCTTTGAGTGCAACAATTYAAAGATTACCATGGAAACATAATCTATAGTTAGTTCTGTAATGTGCTCGTGTGATCCTCCTGGGAGAAGAGCCTGGAGTCTCCTGGTGGTTGCAGCCTGTGTGGCAGTGCCCCGGGCTCCTTTCTGAGYTCTGAATGGAAGGGGACTGCAGAGSTGTGACAGAGCAGAGGASTCWGGGTCTGCTGCAGGAGCACCATCCAAGTGGTCCTTCACAGCTCTGGAATTCCTGACCATAAAATCCTGTCCTTGAGAGTGGATCTCCTCAGCCGGATGTGATGCTGCTGTCACTTTTGGGTGGACATCTGATGTATAATGTAAGAATCCATATGGGAAAACCACCAAATCTGCCATTGTCTATATGCTAAAAGGTTTCATTGCTYAGAAAAGCTGGACAAAGCCCCATCCCTGGAAGTGTCCAAGGCCAGGTTGGACGGAGATTGGAGCAACCTGGGATAGTGGAATGTGTCCCTGTTTGTGGCAGGGGAATGGAACAAAGATGAGCTTTAAGGTCTCTTCCAACCCACACCACTCTGTGATTTTGGGTGGTACTGGGAGATTAGATATCCCCTGGGATATCTGRTTAATTTAATTACTCTTGCTAATTTCTCTTTTGAGCTTTAACCACATTTTATCTACTGAAAAAAGTGTGCCTGGTAGCYGATGTGCAGATAAACCTGTGACTTGTGTGTACCTTACAACTGAATTAAGGAATGAGCAGGCAGAAGGATGGCTCTAGCTCAAGAATGAACCACTAGCTATGTTTTCACAACTGATACAACTTAAACTGTAGGATTTCTCCTTGCAACTGGCTRGAAACAGATTTCTCTAATGGGAAGTTCTCTCCTAGTGCAGGAAGTTCTCCAAGGGTGGATACTGCAGCCTTGGTGGCTCTTTTCTCATGTGGTTCCTCTTGAGGTGTGGGCTGGTGCCTGCTCTGGGCCACCCTCTCTAATTCCAGACACTCACATTTTGCAACTATAACTTCTTCCCTTTCTGTTTCTCCAGGGTTTCTGGTATGCACTTAAAGCCATATCTCAAGTTACAGAAGAAAGAACGATCCCCAGAAATAAGCCAGGATTCCCTGCGAGGCCACCAGGGACCAGCACAAGGAGAAAAATACACCAACTGCACCARACTGAGCGTTTTCCCAAAACCCTCCCTCGTGACTCCATCTCAAAAACTTCTGGGGATTATTTATCCAAATACTATGTGCAATATGAACGGGAAAGGTCCAGCAGATGGTCCGAGTGCAAGGGARAAGAAGAACGCCCTGTCTGCGACGATCCACCAGGGAGAAGAAGGGGAAGGGCCGCTGGATGTCTGGGCTGTGGTCAAACCTGGCAACACCAAGGAGAAAATCGCCTTCTTCGCAGCCCAACAGTGCAGCAGCAACACCCGCGTGGGCTCCATGAAAATCAAGAGCACGTGGGACATCGACGGGAGAACGGCCAAGCGCAGGAAAAAATCGGTGGATCTTAAAAAAGCCAAAATCCAACTGGAAAGGATGAGGGAGGCGAACGCCCGGTGCTCCCAGCCGGAGCCTTTCGCCTGCGGCATCGAGCACTGCTCGGTGCACTTCGGCAGCGACGGCGGCGAGGGCGCYTTCCCCGGCCGCTCGCTGTCGGTCATCGAGATGGTGGCGTTCCTGGAGCAGCGGGCCAGCGCTCTGCTGGTGGACTGCGCCAAGAGCTGCGCGGCCACCCGGCTCAGCGCCCAGCCCAAGGCCACCCCGCCCGCTCCCAACCCTGACCCGTTCTCCTCGGCCGCGGCGTGCGAGGCGCCTGCGGAGCCCCAGGGCGAGCCCGTGCGCGTGCTGGACATGGTGGCCAAGCTGGAGTCCGAGTGCCTGAGGCGGCAGAGCGAGCGCGAGGCCGGCAGCCTCTCCCGCAACAACAGCTTCCGCAGGAATGTGGGCAGGGTGCTCCTGGCCARCGGCACCCAGCCCGAGGGAGAGGTGGCCAAGGGCGTCCCGGCTCAGGGGGACGGCCTGGGGGAGGCAGGGGTGGCCGAGGCTGGCTACAATGGCTGCTGTGTCCCTCTGGGTGACACCGAGCTGTGGGATGGCGCTGCCTCTGCCCGGCAGCCATTTGCTTCGGGGCTGGATACCCGGGTGGGGAATGTGAATTCRGGACTGGCCCAYGCGGTGYTGGCCATGACAGCCGGCAGGAATGATGCTGAAACGCGGGTTGAGCCTCCCAGGGCTCTGCTGGCCCCGTGTCCGGCTGCTGCCAGGCTGCCAGCRGATCCCTTGCAGAGCAAGAACGCGACTGTTGATTGTACGTCGAAAGAGCCTGTAATTTTCCCAAAGCATCCTGCTAGGAAGGAGCCCTTGTGCATCAGTATATCAGTCACCAAGACCGAGAAAGGGTGCAGGAAGGAGAAGCTCTCCAGCTCCAGTTCTGGTGAGGATTCGCTCCCAGGGAGGCTGTTTTTCCTCCAGGGTGAGCAGCCTGCTGCTCACGAGGGGCAGCYGCAGCGGGAGAACACCCAGGAGAAGCCAGGGGAAGTAGCCCAAAATGAAGATGAGGATGCTCTGTCATCTGGCAGATCATGTGTCAGAAGCAGTGTCCCAACAGAGCCATCGGTCCCTTCTGTCCCTCCCGCAGAAGGGGCTTTGCAAGTACTTGAYGCTTCCTGCCTAAAGCGGCAGGTTTCGCATGACTTTCTGGAGACCAGGTTTAAAATCCAGCAGCTTCTGGAGCCTCAGCAGTACATGGCCTTCTTGCCTCACCACATCATCGTGAAGATCTTTGGGTTGCTTCCCACCAGGAGCYTGGTTGCCCTAAAATGCACTTGCTACTACTTCAAATTCATCATCGAGTACTACAACATCCGGCCGGCGGACTCGCGCTGGGTCCGCGACCCCCGCTACCGGGAAGACCCTTGCAAGCAGTGCAAGAAGAAATACGTCAAGGGGGACGTGTCCCTGTGCCGGTGGCACCCCAAGCCCTACTGCCAGGCTCTGCCCTACGGGCCTGGCTACTGGATGTGCTGTCACCGCTCCCAGAAGGGCATCCCSGGCTGTAAGTTGGGTCTCCACGACAATCACTGGGTCCCCGCCTGCCACAGCTTTAACCGTGCGATCCATAAGAAAACCCGAGGAGCRGGAGCCGAGGTGGAAGAGGAATATTAGTGCACAAACACTTTCCTGTCAGATTGTTTGGGGTAGGAGGAGGAGGAGGAGATTCTCATGCCTTGTGCTGTTTACAGTGTATATAATTGTCGTGATTTTTTTTTTTTTTTGTTCCACAGGGCTATGATACTGCACATATTCAAACACAAGAGCCTTTACCTTTTAGATTAAAAGAGAGCTTTTAGTCCATCTCTGTAAATAACACTATAAAAACTAATTGTACATACAGAGTCTACAGCTGGCTGAACAAGGTAACCCTTACAATGCAGCTATCCCAGTGTTGCGGCTATAGGTGTGTGTGTTTTTAAGTGTCTTGTTTCAAAATCTGTATATCCTGTATAATATATGAATGTTTCTGAGAAGAAACTCTAAATAGGTAAAGGTCAACTTGTTTAAAGAAGCTGCAGACAACTTAACTGGACAACCTGAAACTTAGACTATAGAACAGATCCATTATAGTAGCGTGGCAGTGGATTAAAAAAAAAAGAAAAAGAGAAGAATATTATTGTATAGTCAGAATATTAAAAAAAAAAAAAAAATTGTTGTCTACCTTACCGATGTTGTCTGGTTGGGTTTTTTGTTTTTTTTACATAAATAAAGTGTGCATTCTAGATCTGCCTTACCAGACTTCTCTTGTAAGACTTTTGCCCCAAAATAAAAATGCTGTAAAACACGTGGCAGAAACTTGGTGCTGTGCTGTAGTTCAGATGTGCAGTGTGCTTTCTATAGCAAACCTGTCCTAACTAACAAAGAAACAAAAACCCCCAAATCTCTAATAGTTGGAGAACTCCCTGCTGTAACATTAACAGATTCCAGCTTTTCTTTCCTGCCAGCCCTGCGTGCAGCAGAGGCTCCTTTTGTTGGGAATTCTGGTGCTAGGTGTGTAAAGCTTGCAAAAACAGGCATTTTCTGCTCATCCTGCTCTTCCTGGCTCTTGTGARTGCCTGACCTGTTCCCTGGATGCTCGAGGATGGAGCGTGGCTCCAGCAGGATCAGCRTGGAGTTCCTTTGCTCTGTCCTGTGCTGGAAGCTTTCCTGTGTGCTCTGTGTGGAATTTTTCCCTTGCAAAGRAGAATCCTGGCAGTGCTTTGCCCTGCTCTGCTGCAGCCTCTCGGTGCTTTCCGGGGGATTGWGAAGGTTCRCGTCGGACGAACGGCRATTCCTCAACCGCGGAATGGGAGCRGAGCGTGGCATCCKTGGGACAATTTCCCTGGATACATTCCTGCCCTGCCGTGCTGTGAGCCAGACCTCAGCCTCCAGCTGCAGCCTCTGAGGGTTTGGAAGTTTGGGAATGGACCCTGGCCAGTCCAGCAGCCGCGTCCAGCTCGGTCAGGGGAGCAGCAGCCGATTTCCAGGGAGCTGAACGGAGCGTGGCAGCCGTGCCTTCCCTCTGGCCAAGGCCTTCTCTCCCCACTCTTGGTGCTGTTGCTGTTTCTCTGTCCCTTTTCAYGGCATGGATGGACTCCTGGTTCTCACTGTTCCAGCCGGAGCAGCCAAAATCTCTGCCCTGGTGGAAGAAGAGCTGGTGCCACCTTCCCACAGGGCTCACCTTGGGAATTTCTCTGCGCTGCAAACTCCATGGAGCAGCTGGGAAGGGCAGGGATGGGGTGGCCCTGCACATCTGGCTCATCCTGTTCCCTCTCCTCTGCTGCTGGATCAGCAAGGTGTGGAAAGCTGCTGCCAGYGGGGGCCAGGCTGAGCTGCCACCTCCACCTGCCCTGGGACCACAGGGAGTGACTCCTCTGCTTTGGGAGCGTGAGGAGGACAAAAGAGGGTTTGAAGGTGGATTCTTTTGTTCTCTGCATTAGTGAGGGAAGGAAAATCGAGCCCTGGCAGCCTGAAGTGGGGGTGTGGTGAGTTCAGGCTTTTCAGGGAGGTTGAAAGGATGTGCCGGTTTTATTTTTTGCCTTCACCTGCTCCTRCCACCCCCTGGGTGTCAGCCACCCCTCCCAGAGCTGCTCGGCCTCCCTGCACTGCAGACATGATGACAACCAGGAGGGATGAAATTAGGAATCTGAACRAAGGGTGTGGCTGCCTTGTAATGGGCTGGGGAGAGGGAGAGGGAAAGCTGGAGCTCTCGGTAATCCCYGACTTCACCCTCTAACGGGGCGCAGGCTTCACCCAAACTTCCATCCGCACCACCAGCAAAACAACTTCCAGCCTCTTGTTTTGCCAAAGCCATCGACATCGAAGGTCTTCATCTTCATTTTGATGAGGGGAAAAGGGAAAGAGGCTTTCCTGCTCCCCCACCCAAGACTCTGGAAAACTTGAGGCTGACAGCAGCAAGGAAAGTCCCTGCGAGGCTGGAATGGAGCAGCAGAGGAAAATATTTTGTAATTAGATAAGGGGCCAGTGAGGTCATTTTGTTTGGAACAGGGTGTGAGATTTTGGTCACCTTTGTTGGAAAAGAGGGGAAAATGAGGATAAAATAATATCATAAGGCTGTTTTATTCTTGGAGCAGGTAAATCCAGAGGATAACTGCCCAACCCCATCCCTGCCCTCSCCCCAGGCTGGCTGGGGAGTGTGGGCTGGTTTATATATCCTTTATTATGTTGTCTGCTGGAACTGTCCCTCCTGCACAGCATTGCTGTTAAAAATTGTTTTACAGAGCAAGCTTTTGCATCCAGAAGTGGGCTGGTTCCGAGTGTTGTCATGTGGAGCTGCCTGCAAGCTTTTTATTTCCTGTAACACTGTAAAGTGCAGATTTCTGTTTCCTTAAGGCATGGTTCAGGGAGAAGCCAAGGTCTGATGAATGTTTTCTTTTTTCCTAAGAAGCAATTAAAAAAAAAAAAAAATCCAGTGTTGGATTTACAAAGTTCAGTGTTTAGAACTGAGGACGAAGGACTGCACCATGTGCTTGACTTCCCTGCCTGGGAGCGTTTGGAGTGTCTGGACTGAATTTCCAGATAGGCCTGCAAAGAAGTTGTAATAACATTTCCATTGTCCATAAGATTCCAGTTTTCATCAAGCTCTGGGGCTCTCCTGGCATGGACACCACTGAGAAAGACGCCCGTGGCTGAGGCTTGTGGTYGGGCTCTTGCTCCATCCTGGCTGTTTCTGCAGCAGCTTTTCCCTTGGCTGGGCCCTGTTCCCTGTGGGGAAATCCTGGGATGCTGCAGCAGAGCTCAGTTCCTTGTGTTGGACACAGGCCCTTCCTGCAGCTCTGTCCCCGTGCCAGACYCTGGGACTGCCATGGAGCTGCTCCAGGGCTGGAGCCAGGCTGGGAGAGCTGGGGGTGCTCAGCTGGAGAGGAGAAGGACACACGGAGAGCTCAGAGCCCCTGGCAGGGCATAAAGGGGCTCCAGGAGAGCTGGAGAGGGACTGGGGACAAGGGATGGAGGGACAGGACACAGGGAATGGCTTCMMASTGCCARAGGGCAGGGATGGATGGGATAWTGGGAAGGAATTCSTGGCTGTGAGGGTGKGGAGGCCCTGGCACAGGGTGCCCAGAGAAGCTGTGGCTGCCCCTGGRTCCAAGGCCAGGCTGGACASGGCTTGGAGCAGCCTGGGACAGTGGAAGGTGTCCCTGCCATGGCAGGGGTTGCAATGAGGAGATCTTTCAGGTCTCTTCCAAGCCAAACCATTCTGGGATTTCACAGAACTGCACTGACAGATCCCGCCTGTCTCTGCTCCCCCATCCTGCTGGAAATGGTGCTGAAGCCTCACCCGGGGCTGTTTCTCCTTCCCGCCTGCCTTTGGCTGCTCCAGGCAATCCTGGTGTAGGGACAGGACCCAGGGCAGGATCAGGCTGCTCTCCTGCCATGAACYAGTGGAAGAGGACAAAAGCTGCTGCTGCTGGTCCTGTTTGAGCAGAGGTGGCCCCAGGCTTTGCTTTGCTTTGCCCTGGCCATGACCTGGCTGTGCTGTGACCATCAACTGGCCCAGCTCCCTGTGCAGGAGCCCCAGGTGGCTGCTGCTCCCCATCCTGAGTGCCCAACAGCTGGAAAACAGGGCCATCAGCCCTCCCCATCAGATCCATCACAAAAGATGGGCTGGGAGGGCTCGATTCTGCTCCATCATCAGCAGCCCATAAATCATGGGCTGCCAGGGCCCGTGGGCAGAGCCTGCCTGGCCCTTCCCCATCGCTCTGACACTGCTTCACTTTAATAACTCCAACCTTCAAAGACTCCCTTTTGCACCCTGAAATGACCTTGTAACGAGGAGCTTTTTTCCCTTTGCATGCAGAAGGAACCCAGCACCTGCAGAAACAAACAACCCCCGGCCCAGGAGCAGCCCCAGGCCGGGCTCACACGAGAGGTTTTACCCGTTTACATGTACATAGAGGGATGTGTGTGTGTGTGTGTGTGTGTTGTGCAGGACTCCACCCCCTGCTCCCATGGAGATGCAGTTATTTTATGTAAGAGTATTTTTTTAGAATGGGTATTGCTTATTCCACCGCTGTACGACTGATTGCACTGTAACAGGTCTGGTCCCTGTCATGCTTTGAAAGCTGGAAATTCTTGTGTACTTTGCCCAGCACGGTGAAAAACAAACCACACAGAAGTAACGGTCATAAATATACAACTTTAAAAAAATTACTGTTAAAGATTTATTGCAATAATACAATAAAATTTAGAAGAAAAAAAAAAACAAACCAAACCATTTGTGTTACATCTTAAGTCTGGAAGTTGTGAGAGAGGGGCTGCGAGGTTCTGCAGGTGACAAAGCCACCCCTGGGTGTCCCACCCAAAACCTGGCACAGGGCTGGGCCCCCAAAATCAGGCTCGTCCCTGGCAGCCCAAATTGGCCATCCCAGGTCACTGCTCATGACCACAAGTCCCGGCCTGAACTGAAATTCCTGTGTTCATGCTACGCAAAATGTTTTGTAAACTCTCAGCTGCCTGCCTTCAAATATCTATAATTACAGATATTCCTGCCCTCCCTCCCCCACGCCCCCAAACAACCTGGAAAACGAATCCTGGTGATTGCACTCAAGGTTTGGACACACAYAAATTCTTCCTCAGCTACACATGTGCAAAACACTTTTAAGAAAAACCACCACAACCTTGTGTTCTGTTACAAAAAAAACGTTCCACGAAAAACCCCACCCCAACGTCTTTGAACACCCTCATGGTGCCCTTGTGCACTCTCAGAATACGACAGGGTTGCAAATAAATTATTTTGGAAAACAYGGATAGGCAGTATATGGCTTAGAAAAGTTATTGTGTTGGATTTTCTTTCCCTAAGTTCAGTGACAGTGCACRAAGCTGAGTCATGGGCTGACCTTCCAGGGCTCAAAGCACAAAGGCAGCAATGAAAAAGGGGCTGAAATGCCTATTAAAAAACAACAAAAAAAGKTATTTAGATGGCGGGGTCCAGTGCAAAATACACGGGGAAGCAGAAGGGGCTGGGCTGGGGGCCCAGTTTCCAATACTGGTGTGTGCTGGTTCCTCAGAGCTGCGAGTGCTAAAGTGCTGTGAGCCAACAGAGCCCGACCCCGGGCTGGGTCTGGGGGCACTGAYCCCCATCAGGCTGCAGCAGTCCAGGGGCCTGGGCTCTTCTCCTAAACAAACCCAGCTCTCAGAGCACAGCAGTGGCAGGAGCCAGGGGGTGTTGTCTGACAACGTGAGGAGTTAAGGGTCTTTGGTTTAAAAAAAAAAAAAAAAATTAAAAGAAACTACTGACAACAGTAACTGAGCTCAGGGCTAAAGAAAAGCAGCTGCCATGGTGGGGTGGGGGTGGCAGACACCATAGTCAGCCTGTCCCCGATATGGGGCACACGGGTGTCACTGCCACACCCGGCTTCCCACCCCTCCCAGGTGGGGACAGAGGCAGCACTGRCCAGGCTGGAGAGGAACAGAGCAAACCACGACAAAACACCCCGTGAAGAGGCTGGAAAGCCAGCCCTGGAGCTGGGATCAGGCAGAGATGTGGGCTCTGTGTCACCCACCACGGCCTTGTCGTGTCCCCGTTAGGAGCTGCGGGGCAGCAGCAGAAATCCTCCCCTGCAGGGAGGGCAGGAGGCTCTGCCCTTGCAGGGGAACTGTCCCAGCTCTGAATGTAAACGCTGGAAGCTTTGCTGAGCAAAGACCCCGTCCTGCAAGGCAGAGGCAGAGGAGGAGCCCTGTTCTCCACCTCATCCCCTGGCGGGGCTCCACGAGCCAGCAGTGCCAGGGACACCAAACCACCTTCCTGGCAGCCAGTAAACAATAAACCCCACCGAGAACAGCAAATAAAACAGGGTTAAAAACACGTGTAGTGTGGAGAACGTGTGACCTCACCAAACTGGCTTGAAATGAGGTTTTTTCTAATGCTAAAAAGTGGCAACACATGGATGGGCATTATTGCAACAGTGCAATCCTGTATCAGCATCGAATGTGGGTTGAGCCAGAGAATGTCCAGTGTTTCTTTGGTGTATGGTATTAAAGAGTACAGAATCTGTGTGCCTCAGGCAGCACAACACRAAACTTCTACACCTACCAGTGGAAACAGCATGAAACAAGCCAGTCTGCTACGGCAAAACTGGGGAAAGATTCACAACCAAATCTAAAACAAGAGCAATTTGCTGTGTGAATTCCCTGTCCATGCTGATTATTTGTATTAAAAATATGGCAACAGAGATTAGAAAACATGTTAAAAATGCACAATTTTCATGTCCTGAATGAAAAAAATTTAGAAATACGCATTTTTGCATTATGCAAGACAGATTTAAAACACACACACAAAGGAAAACCCTGTAAGGAGTTAAGAAAGTGGGAACTGCATTTGCACCACTGTCCAGACCGCACCCTGAGCAGCCTCATCCCGATCCAAACACTCCAAAATCTGTTTCTGCTTCAGAAAGTAGAGCTGGAGGTTGCTGGGTCCTTTACAATCCTCGATGCAGACAGAACCAAGACACAAAGTGCCCTCACCGAATCCGTCGGGAGMACGGAGCTAATTTACAAAACGGGGCCGTCACAGTCATCCTGGGTAAATAAAAAGGTTTTCTCCGGTTTACAAAACAAAAGTCTGACCTTTCCCTTATTCCAGGCACTACTTAACTGAATGGGTAAAGGTTGACTACAGCACGSTCGGGGAGGGTTCCTGCTAGCGGTGCCCGGTGTAGGCTTTGAGCCACGAGGTGACGGAGGCGGCGGCGGACGAGATCATCCCGCCGGCGCTGCTGCTGGCGATGGGCTGTGACACCTGGCTGCTCTGGCTCTGCAGCATCTCCACCTGCTGCGAGGGGATGTCGCAGAACCTGGGGCTGGGCAGGTTCTCCCAGTCCGTGCCCAGGTCCGTCTCCTCGTCGCTCACGTGCTCGTCGCCGCTCTCGTCCGTCTCGCCCGCCGCGCTGGGCTCCACGAACTCCATGGAGTCTTCCAGGTCAGCGCTGATTTCGAAGGGGCCGGATCTGGGGGTGAGAACACGATGCCATCAGTCCCCAGGCACAGCAGAGATCAAGCATCCCTGCCTTTATCAGCTGGCAGAGGGAACGTTGTGTCACCTCTGTCACAACACAAACACTCGGCCAAGGAAGGGACGGGGTTCCAGACCTGGAGCAGGAGCAGCAGGAGAGCTTCTGCTCTGGCAGGGAGGGTAAAACACACACAGCAGAGAAAGCTCCTGGTGATAACTCAGGGCTGCTCTGGTGGGAATCTAGGCTTGATTGGTGGAACAGCTTTAATTTCCACCACCAGCCCCAGSCAGGCCAAGATGGCTCCGCTCTGTCAGGGTGTAGCTACAACCCACAGCACACCAGTGGAGAATTCCCACTCTGCCCCRAGCAACACCTCAACCTCCTTCTCACTCTGAGCTTGGCCAGACACACTGACCAGGCTGTGGGGTCTCCCCTGGTGATGCTCCAAACCCACCACACAGAATCATGGAGTGGGTCAGGTTGGAGGTGACCCCAGTGGCTCATCTTATCCCACCCTCCTGCTCCAGCAGGGTCATCYCAGRGCACAGGATTGTGTCCAGATGGATCTGGGATATCTCCAGTGAGGGAGACTCCACACCCTCTCTGGGCAATCAGTTTCAGGGCTYGGTCACCCCAGAGGAAAGTTCTTCCTCATGTTCAGGTGGAATTTGTGGGCATCAGCTCCTGCTCATTCCTCTGGTGACATTGCTGGCCCTGCTCAGAGCCCTCTCTGCAGACAGGGACAGACATGGCTGAGGAGCCCTCCCCAGCTSGCTCAGCCTTTCCTGGGCAGGGAAATGCTCCATCTCTGAGCAGTGGCTCTGTGTTCTGCATCTCCAGGGTCCTGCCCRAACCCACCCGTGCTGTGACTCGGAGTTCCCTGCTGCCACTGCCTGGTGGGAGAAGCGATTGCATCCTGCCCCATCCCACTGATCTGCATTCCATGGGAAAAGGTGGATTCCCCACAGCAAGCAGCATCCCTGACTGAGTTCATTCCAAACCACAAAACTGCCCTGTAAATATGAGCAAGAATTTAATAGAATCATAGAATCCTTTACGTTGGAAAAGACCCCCAAGATCACCGGGTCTGACCATTAAACACAGTAACTATTAAAAAAGGCAAGAGTTTCTCCAGCCTTAGTGGGAGAAGGAGCCTAAAGCAGTGACTTAGCATGGAAAATTTTAATCCAGATAATTAAAGCTTGGTAAGGTTATAAGCATATGAAAACAGCATATAAAGGAGATTGTTAGGCAACCACAGGCTTAGGTATCTAAAGGAAAATACAGAGAGCTGCTTGCTGCAAACTCTGCAGCCAGCTGAGAAATTAAAGGCAAACACGCCTCTGTCATAATCTGGGAAGGAATGGGAGCRCTGCCTCCTGGCAAAGCCTTTTGCTTCACAAGGCAACACAAGAAGGGAGTCATCAGGGTTGAGGCCAGAAAGGACCATTAGATCATCTCAAGTGACCTCCYCTCTACAAAGGCCACTGCGTCCCTCCCTGTCCTGAGCCCAGCAGCTCCTGCCTGATGACAGCATCCATTCCAGAAACTCATCCAGCCTTGAGAGGATGACAGAAGSAAACAGAATCCCCACCTTCATTCCTGTGGGTAATTAATGCCTCTGTTAAGTGCATGTGTACTCATTTCAAGCAGCTCAGACTCTGCTCCCACTGGTGTCTGTAAAGCCATTCAGCAGCCTGGTGGGTATTTTATCCAACTCTCCTCTAACCCTTTTACTATCTGGACCCAGCTATGCATGGGGAACTCTGTGACACCTGCACAGGTGCCCACTGTGCCCCTGGACCTTTCAGAGCAGCTGCTTTCCTTTGAGAACAGTTCTCCACCCTCTGGGTATTTCCAGCACYCTCCTTGTTATAAGCAAGCAGCAGCAAGGACAGATTTTTGTCCAACATCTTTTACAAAGCTGTGGCTCCCCATGTGTCTGGGCTGAATCAGTAGGGATAAATCCAGAGAACACAAGGGATGTGGGAACAGGCAGTTCCTCTTAGTGGCACTGCAGGTTTTTGAATAAAACCTGATCTGTACACCAGAACAAAGCAGAAAAGCAGATTTCAGAACATTACTGTGTTTTAAGGAGCGGGGATAAAGCACCAGGCACATCAAACAAATATTTGCAGACTGTCTTGGGCATAAGTGACTTGAGTCTGGATTATCCCAATGGGGAAATCAGTGTTGTTTGCTTTCTTATATTTAAGTTGAGAAAAAAAATATTAAACCTGGTGTGCACAGACCAGAACTGACTTTCTTTTCATCACGTTCTAAGCTAATAGAAAAGCTGTCTTTGATCTTAATTTACATRTAAATGAATATTATTTTGAAGGGTCAGCTTTGGTCTAGGCAGTTCACTGACTGGAAGTATTCTGGGAAAGGTTTTCCTGGGATTCTTTCTCAGGGTTTGTATTCCTGGATGCTCTCAGGTTGGCAAGGYGTGGGCAGGGTCACATTTGGAGCATGGCAAGGCTGCCTGGCACATGTGCTGCTGTTCCCTGGAGGGAAGGAGTTCCTGCTTCTGGGTGCAGAGGAAATCAGTCCATCATCAGTTACAAAGCTTCCAGCTGAGCCTGCCAYAGGCAGAAGCACAGCAAACACACAACTGGAATTTAATTTCCTACTCAGAAGCCCCTTTTCTGGTCCTGTCCTATCTCTCTTTGTAACTCCCCTGATTTCTGTGCTTGAGGATTGATCTCTAAGCACAGCAGAAGAGAATTTCCCTCCTAAGTAACAAGGCAAAGGCAGAAATTCAAAAGGGATCCAGCCACAGGAGAGTTCACGTTTTGCTTTTCTTACCTGCCCAAGTTCTCAGTGTCTGGGCTGACCAGGTACATGAGGTTCCTGAGGGTATGCAGGGGGTGCAACAGATCTAAATTTACATGCTGACATGGGGAAGGAAAAAAAACAAACACACGATCAGCTCCTGGAGGAAACCAGCAGGCACAGTTGATATTTAAAAAGCTATTTAAAGACATCAAATGTGCATCCCCCCTACCTGAGAGAAGCAGAGGTGAAGGATATTGGCATTCAGCTTCTTCACTGCCCGTGTGAACCTGTGCCTGCTGAGATTCTCTCCACAGAACTCACTGTTAAAACACCACACACACACTCAAATACACAGAAAGCAAAATGCTGTGAAAATCCACTGACTGGAGGCATCAGCATTCTGTGCCCTGGCTTCTAACGAATTCTGGGGTAAATATCCTTGCAGTGAGCACTCAAAAAGGCCTACAGGCAGTTTCAGAGTGCTCAGGGGATTAATTTTTCACCAAGCAGGACTGTGAGCATTTTATCAACATGCTCTGCTTGCCCTGGCCTCACCAGTTTGCACAGGACAGGTGGTGTGAACTGTAGGGAACTCAGACATCCACCAGTGCCAAACTATTTCAGATTTCCTTCTAAATCTTCCATCGTTTCCTGCTCCCAATCTTTTCCTTCTCTGAGAACTGAACACCCAAATAAAACCAGAGAATCACAGAATGGTTTGGATTGGAAGGGACCTTCAAGATCATCTGGCTCCAAATCCTGAGTCATGGGGTGGGGAAAAGCTGAAACCCTACACAACTTTCGTGCCCTCACTTTGACAACTGCTATTTTAAACAYTTAAAGAGAATCTCAGCAGCACATTTGAGACCTCTGGGAGTCTGACCAGGTCTGCAGCTCCTTCTGTAAAGATCCCAGCTGCTCCACACAGACAGCATAATTCTAACTGTGCTTTTCATCCCAAATGGGGTTTATGCAATGSACTCCTAAGTCTGTTCCCTATGGATGTTTTATCCCATTGGGAATTACACTGTGTAGGACTTTGTCCTACAGCACAGGATGTAGCAGAGCTGTTTAAGAGCTACTGAATTTGGGCTGGAATTTTGTGAACCACAGTGGGGAGCAATAAAATGAAAAGTGCCATTCACAGAGTGCCATTTTTCATCTCTCATTTGAGGGTGCTGAATATGTCAATTAGAAAGATGTTACTTTCAACTGTGATGGTTGGTCTTTCCTCTCAGGAAGTTAAAAAGGAGGGAGGGACTGCTAARTGTGGTTTAAAATCCTGCTGGGCCTCCCCTCAAACAGCACAAAAATCCATGAGCCACCCATGTCACCATAAAAGCTGTTCCAATTCATTACTTTTTTTCCCCAAACTAAACTGATTTAAGGTCACTGCTGTGTTTACTCGCCTGTTGCAGAGCTTCTTGGGAAGATTTACATCAAGTATGAGAGACAAAGTGTTAACRAGCTGAGTTGCATAGCACAATGCAGCACTGATGGTATGAGCAGGGTTATTATGTTCCATATCTGAAAGAAATAAAAACAACATGAAGTCCTGGTTTTAAATSAAGCCTTGGTGGGTGTGTTAATATGTTACTGGAGTCTACTCTGGAATATGTCATTTCTGAGTATGGAGAACAGCCTGAATCTAGCAATCATTTCCAGTGAAATCTGTCAGAAGTTGGAAGAAAATAGTAATTCTTGGAATTCCTGTTAAGATGATGACATGTGAACTGTGTCAAAACTGTGAATAATTAACTTTCTCTATTTCATCGGGCTGTGTGTCCCAGTGAGCATTTCATGCTAAAGATTTTAGCAGACTAATCATAAAATCACAGAGTGGTTTGGATTGGGAGGGACCTTAAAGATCAGTGAGCATCTCATGCAAAAGATTTTAACAGACAGCTAAAGCTTTTAGCAGACTAATCATAAAAGCACAGAATGGTTTGGATTGGAAGGGACCCTAAAGATCACCTAGTTCCAGTTAGGCAGGGAATCTTCTAGAATCCCTACATTGGCATTTATTGCAATAAATAAGTAGAAATTTAGGCTTGCCTGGGTGAGAACAGACCAATCCACTGCTCCTCCATACCTTCTGCTGGCACCCAACACTTCTGGAGTGTCCCAGCTGYCCTAAACCAGCCCTTGCTCCTTACCAGGTCCCTGTGTGGTCTTCTTCTCCTCCACCCAGTTGTAGTAAGCCGAGTAGTCTCCRTTGTTGGGGAGGATGATCCAGGGCCCCGTGATGCTGATGCTGGTGTCCCCATTGTGGTCATCACACACCCACCTCCCTGACAGGTACGTGGTTCTCCGTGCCTCTGCCAGTTTGCTCACAGTGCTGGAGGTCATGGCGTTGTCGCTCTCGGAGGACACGTCTGCAGGGTCCCTGGAGTGGTGGAAACAGAATCAAACACACACTTGGCAGGCACTGAACCAGGTTTCACTGAGGGTAAAACGCTGCCAGGAATGCTCCTGCAGAACCTCTCAGTCCCAAAACTACTTTAGTTTTTCTGGGGTTTTTAACTGGCTGTTTTTGTAGAATCCTGGACTGGTTTGGGTTGGAAGGCATCTTGTAGACTACTTCTGCAAAACTCCTCATTCCCAAAACTACTGTCATTTGTTCTGGGGTTTTTAATTACCTATTTATGTAAAATCCTAGAACGGTTTGGGTTGGAAGGGATCCTAAAGTTTGTCTCATTCCAACCCCCCTGCCCTGGGCAGGGACACCTTCCACTGTCCCAGGCTGYTCCAAGCCCTRTCCAGCCTGCCTTSAGCACTTCCAGGGGTGGGGCATCCATACTTGAAGAAGTTTAACATTGGACACACAGCTCAGATCTCTCAGTGGGGAATGCAAGCACCTCCAGATTCAGATTMTTTTATCCTGGATCTCTTATCTTTGGGTGAGAACACAACTCCACCCCACAGATCCTAAGGGAGCCWGAGCACCTACCTTAGACTTTCACAATCCCCTTCTGGCTGTCTAAAACCAAGCAAAATGAGCCCAAAAGGACGAGCCTGCCATACCTCATGCTTGTCTTCACTTCTTCAATGGGAAAAATGACCGAGGTCAGCTCCAGGATGTGTGACCGGCGCAGGTTTGCCAGGTGCTCGTACTGAGTTTTCAGGTCRTAGGTTTTTTTCTCCACCAGGTCTCCCAGCTTCCTGTTGTGCCTCTGGATCTTCTCTTTCTTCTCCTGGTGCCTCTGAGCCCGGCGATAATGCTTCTGGTTCTCCTCTTTAATCCTCAGCAGCCCCTCTGTGTCTGTGAGAACAGCAGCAGATGTTATCCCTTGGAAAAGGAGCTGGGAGGTGCTTGTAGGAAAAGCTTGAGAAAAGCTTTATTAATATTTATGGAAAACAAGATCTATGGCAGCTTAAAACAAAAAAAACCCTGCTAAACTATTAACATCTTCCAGCTGCTCAGTGGTACAACTTTTTAATCTCCTCTGAAGATCTCCAAAGAGACTGCAATTGGGATTATTCTTTCCCCATCTTTTACCCAGCTATTTTTGGATTTGGAGCACAAAAGCCAAGATTTCCCAGTTTAATTAAACTCCCGAGGTAATCATCCTGACAGAAATAGCCTGACTGTACATGTTTGCATCGTGCTGGCCAAAAAAAGCCCTGCCCTGCTTGCAGCCAAAATCAAGTGCAGATAGCATCTTCATTCACCATTTCTGGCACCTCTGCTGCTGTCAGTGTGGGTTATTTGGGCTTCACGCTCATGGATGTGCTCTTGCAGCACTTGGATCCCAAAAGTACAGGCTCCTGTTTTCCTCAGGGAACACTGGCTGTCTCCTTTTCCAGTCACAAAACTGGAAAYGTGCTCAGATACTGAAGTGCTGCAACTGCCTGGATTCACTCCATGTGTCAGGSACCCTGAGGCTGGAAAAATACCCTTCAAGAGCATCTTGAAGCATCCWAGGTTGGACCTRAWGATCTTAGAGGTCTTTTGCAACCTTGATGATCCTATGATCTGCTGATTCTGCTATAAAATAAGTGGCTGCAGTAATGTTCCCACAAACATGGTGCTAGAGAGAGTCAGCCAGCTCTGTCTTTTAGAAGCACAAGGAAGGATTTCTTGTGCTCTGCCCAAATTTAAAACTCTCCCTGTGCCCTAGTTTGAAGTGTGCCTGCCCCTGCAGACACAGAGGCTGCTCTCTCTGAACATCAGGAATTATTTCCAGTCATCTGATCTGCTGSAATCCATGGTGTGTCTGGTAGGAAGGAAGATCTGGTATGTGGGAGATGCAAAGTCCCAAATTAAAGGTGAGAAGAGCTCCTCCATGCAGACAAGAACTAATAATCCTCAGGTTTATATAATATAAGTAAGTGACTCTTGTTAGAGGAGCAGTAGAAAAATCAACCTTTCTCTGAGCAATACCAAGAATCCCTATGTGTCAGSTGTAATTCCCTTTCCTTTTAGCAGCCCTGCAACATCAACAGAAAATCAATTAACGCTTGCATTCAAACTCCCAAACTCTCCCTTTGCATAAAGAACAAGAGGCAGAGGAGSAGGAAAACGTCCATCTGTTCAATTTTCACATTTGTGTTCGACTTGAAAGGCTACTTTTTCAGAGTGAACTCCCTTCCCTGCAGGTCCAACAGCAATTATTTGGGAGCAGGGGAGACACCACACTCACGTTTCCACTTGAACAGTCTCAGCACACAAACAACTGTACTGCTCTCTGCACAACACCTCTGCTTTATGACCCAGTYTATGAGGTGATTAAAAATCTGTCCCCAGGAGTATTTCAGGACACCACTGTGTCCCACACACCTGCACTGCCTGATAAATGGCAGCCCAGACAYACTGATCTCTGCCCAGAAAGCTCTGCCAGCTATTTGCAAGCCTGTCTCCTTGAACTGTTCTGCACAGAAAGAAGGCAAACACACAGATTTTTAAAACATTATTTTAAGCACCACCAGTTATTGAGGTCTCCAAGAAAGTCAACTCCAAAAGTAGGAACCCAGTGTTCTARAAATTGTTCTTATTTCAGAAAATTAAACTGTGCCACATCCAATAGAAGAAAAACAACCTTTTCACACGTCCAAGAGTGACCAAGTTGGTTTCCTGATCTGTTTGGCTACTCACAGCTAGAATTCATTTCTGGTCTCCATCCAAAAGCAACTGAGCTAACAATAGGTTAGTTGGGCAATAGTTAGCTCAGTTTTTAGGTTAAATCTRATCAAATTCACTGTGAATCAAGAGAAGCTGCAAAAGTTGCAGATAACAAATTCCACAGAAGAGTGGGAAAATGGAGGACTCCACTCCCTGGTTGGTCCTAATACTCTGTCACCTTCAGAGCATTTTGAGAAAAGGTGATTAATTACTCAAAGTCACACTGATTTCCTCTTCTCCTATCTTCACAGACTAAAGAAAAAAATCATAATCTCCACAATAATAACAATCTTCTACCTACTGAAAAGCTTGCTTTTCTTCAACTTCCTCTTTTCTAAACCAAACATGAATTTTCTCAGCCGCTCCTTCTGTTTCATTTCCAATACTCGGACTTTCTCCAGGTAATTTGTATCTTTCTTAAACTGTTTAAAGGGGACACCAGACTTCTACTGAAGCAACAGCAATACCTGGCACAGCAGGATAACTGTTTCCTTCTTAAATATAGCACTTACATTATCTAACCCAGAAAGAGGTTTGAAGCTTTCTGAAGTAACATGAGATTGATACTTTTTATTTAATTTGCAATTCCCCAGATCCTTTCCTGCCCAATTTCACTGCCATCCCTGACTTGRGTTTATATTTCTCTTTACAACAATGAATACCTTGAATTTGTCCTTTTCAAAAGATGTTGYCTATTTAGCTGCATGATTTTGAATGTAGTTCTGGTCTCCACAGAAGTCATTTCACCACCCAGCCTGGCTTCCTCCATTCCACCCTCTTTTCTCTGAGCTATTATGGGAAATACTGAAGAGAACTGGGCCAGGAACTGGCTCCTGCTGAGCTCCACCTGTCTCATCTCCTCAGCTTGACCAGTGCCACCACTCTTTGAATGCAGCTTTTTCAACTTTTTGTGATGACYTTGCAGAGGTTACACCCAGAGCAAATGTCTTTGTTTGCTCACRAGACAGTTTCAGGCAGTACCCAAATCCAAATTATGTGCAGCTTCTGCTTCATCCTCCACTTGATCCCCAGTTGATTTGACATGAATATCATGACATAAATAACAAAACATGAATTTGACATGAATATCACAACCAAGTGATGCCTATTTTTAACTACCTTATCTTCCAGTTACCAGCAGGTTTGTAACAGGATGCCTGTGTCATCAGTTTGAKGTTCTTCCTTCCTCCACACTTTGAAACAGGTACTGTTTTCAGTTTCCTCAGACATCCTCAGTCCCTCATGTGCTCCCAAGTGCTCCATAGGCTTACTTGTTCCTTGGGTTCCGAGCTGTGTGTTTCCCTTCCTTAGCCTGGGATCCTCCAATGATGTAAAATTTAACCTGGCTAAGSAGTTGATCACATTTTCTTTGCAGGAAGATGAAGCAAAGGCAGCACTGAATGTTTCACACTTCTCTGCACTGTTTTTTGCCCTCTTTGCTGTTAACTAGCACCCTTGTCTACTTCTTCACCTTTTCTTTATCACACATTTCCTATGGTTACTAGCCATCCTCATTAATTGAAAATCATTTTGCATMTCAGCCTTTTTTGATTTTTCACCCCAACCCTATTCCTTTATGACTCCTCTCAAGTTGTGCCTCTGCCTCCACTCTCTGTATGGCTCCTCTTGGATTTCAAGCCATAAAAATATCCCAGATTCAATCAATATGCTTCTGAATGCTTCCTCTACTTCCCTTGCATGTAGGTTGTAAGGATAGCTGGATATTCTCTTCTGAAAAATGACCCTACAAATTTACTGTAAAAAAATTGAATGAGTTTCAAAATCTGAAGTTTCTGAATGGAGCCTACACCATATTCCAGCRACTCTCGCTCAAGTAGCATTTCAGGATTTTCAGACAGGTGTGGGTTAAAATTCATCAGTTTCACAAAATCTGCAACAGCTGCAGAGCTGTTTGCTCCTCTTTATCAAGAGGAAGTGATCAGAAACACTACACTGAATGAAGCCATCTCTAGGGACACAGCCAGAGTCACAAGCTGCTAAGCATTTGCTCTTAAAGCTGTTGCAAAATGATCTCCATCCAGCTGAATAATGTCTGCTGTTTGCTGATTAAAACCCGAGCATAAAAAGGCCAAAATCCACTCACYGATTTGCCTTCAAGTTGATTTAGGAAGAAGCTGTTTGGAAATTCACTATTAAAAAAAAAAAMACGCTCAAATTCACCTMAATTGATTTTTCACTCTAAGGCACAGGGAGTTTTTCCACATCACAAAAGCACAGGCATTACTCACGTCTTGTCATTTCATCATTTTCCTTGCAAATGGTCTGTTTCAGCTGCTCAATCCTCATCTTGCAAGACATTATTTTCCATCTCTGAAAAAGAACATTCAGCAACTCTAGGGCACAAATGACTTCAAACACGCTGAACTAATGATTAACAACAATGCCAGCAGCTTTAGTGCAAAAGTAGCAGGATGCTCTCAAATGGATCAAACAACTAAATATTTCATACTGTGTTTTGTGCACAGARGGATGCCACAAACAAAATGAGTGCTTAGTGTAAAGTCAATTGGTAAAATAAGTTATTGAATAAATATCTAGTGAGAAATGAAATGTTCAGGCAGCTTGAAACACTCTGCTTGCAAAGCCCATTCCAGTTTTGCTTACAACAGGCTCTTTGGGAAAGCAACACAATGCCCTCAAGGTAAATTGTAACTTTAAACTATGAGATCTAGGAATTCAGAGAGTTTAAAAACCATGGGACACTTAGAGCAACTCACCAGCTGATCAGTTATTTCTTTCCCTTCCATGGCCTTCAAAACACTAGAGGAAAAAACATGATTGAAAGTTTTATGTCGATCTGGAATCTGTCTGTCTCCAGCAACAGTGTGTTAAAGAGACTTTTTTTTATGAGATCTCTTAGCTTTTATATCAATTTAATAAATAYAACTTACTGTTTTTGGAATTCTCTCTGTTTGGTTTTAAGATGCATCAGCCTTTCTTTCTTGTCTGAAAACCTGGAAGAGATTAAATTCTTGTATTGATATTCTGCACAATTACAGCACTGTAAGTTGTCTGAAAAAGATAATAAAATTGAAGCTTGGGGACTCTCCAAACCTCAGCTATCTGTCTTCATCTTGGGAAGCAATGGCTAAATCTGTAAAACTCTTGCAGAATTCTAGAGCATGTGTCTCCCTGGAATTGCTACAGAACCTCCAGGCTGGGGAAACATCAGAGTGTGAAATTATCAAACTTGTAAGCAAATTATTGCTGTCTCTAGATTTACAGCTCAGTTAGATCAGTACTCTGTGTGTTACAAAAAACAGAGAGCATTTGAAAAACCTTCAGTCACTGGATAAATTAACAGTACTATCTCCCATAGTCCATGACCCAAATGTTTGCTTCAGCTCTGCTTCACTGGATTCTGGGGTATGGGAACTGCAGGCAACTGATCAGARGGGAATTTTTTTAGGATTCATCATCCTGTGTTTTCACCCTTTGAGTATGCAGAACCCACATTCTGCCCCGCTCATTGTTCCACAATTCATTCTCTTCTCCTCTGCAACATGTACAATTGACAATTCCATCCTAACAGAGGTGTGGTATTTGCAGATGCCCCATCCCTGGAAGTGTTCAAGGCAAGGCAGGTTGGGGCATGAAGGTGCCACTGCCCATGGCAGGGAGTTGGAACTAAGGTACTTAAGGTCCCTTCCACCCAACCCAAACCATGTGATTTTATGACTTTACCTTTGTTTCAGGGATATTTAAACTTTTTTTAGAAAGACTAGTACACTAAGCCTTGACAGGATGACAAATTTGGCTTCCCTCTCTGTTCCACTGTGGATTTGAGTTCGGGTAGAACTTCAAAATTCTTCACTTTTTTCCTTCAAATGCTGAAATCTGAAAGCTTGGATTCAGAGCGTGTGCAACCACCCTCCCAGATGACATTGGCATTAGAACAAMAAAACCACTGGCTGCTGCTTCTGCAGTCAAGCAAAAATATCTGTTTTCCTTCCAAAACAAACCAAAACCAAATGCAGGTGCTTGGCATAAAAGCCARAGGCCACACGTGAGCTGGAGGAATGTGGTGCAACTGGAGCCCAGCAGTGAGTCCCTTCCTCCTGTGTGTCCTCACGCCAGGAGTCATCATGGAAATAACAAAGGCACTGCATGAGCCTCCTGTTTACCACAGAGCAGTSCTCACCTACTGCACCCCGACCTTTGGCTGCCACCAAAAATCCCTTGGCACAGAAACACAGAGCTCAGCAGTCACACGGTGACAACGCTGGGCTAATTTGGCAATTCTTGGTTTCAGAGCTGCATTAATGGGCACAGACCCTGACTAAACAAAATTACCCAATTCCCATCCACCAAATCAGCAAAAAGTTGAATGATCTGTCAAAGAACATAGGGATAAATTAAGTTCTGACGGCGGAAGGAAAACAGAAATATTTGTGAAATCCTGTAGAAATTCCAGCTCACCACACACTTCTGCAGCAATGTCAAACAGCTTCTACCAACTTCTCCAGCARGCTTCTCCTAAGCAAACATTTCCATTTCTTTATATAGCTCTGATTTCAATTGCATTRCATCCTGCAACTCATTTTTCTTTATATATCTTTAGCCTTTCCATTTGGCAAAGAAACAAAACTTCAGATGAATTATTATAGGAACTCCCATAAAATGTAAATGGAGAGGAGAGAACATCTCAAATTACCCACGAAATGTTTCTCTTTCCTCAAGCCTTATCACATTAAGGTGAGATTTTCTATGGTTACTTGGCTTATTTTCTATGGTTATTTGGCTTTTTTCCACATGTCCATGATTAGAGAGAAGCAACCAGAAAGAGGGGCTTCCTAACTTACAGGAATTGATTAATGCTGAAGGAGCTGAGGGCACTTCACTCACTAATTCCCTCACTGCAAAAACTCTCTACTCCTAATCATAACCCAGAATCGGAAAAATTAAGACAGGCTTAGACGTCACAATTAAATTGTGTTTGGCTTTTGCCATCTGCAGACACACAAAGCCAAGCAATTCAGTAGTCTGGGAAACATACTCTGAGAATTTATGCACATGACAGGCTGGAGGATACTCCCAGGAGGAAGAAGAATCTCTGAGTTGAAACCAACATCAAGATGCCAGCTTGGATTTTGAATATACAAYACATTACTCATGAAAAGAAGAATGTCAGTGACTATTTCACTGRAGGAGACTTCTGGACTACTCATCCTTAATTGTAGCTCTCCTTCAGTAATTAATCTTAACAGCTCCTCAGTCTCTCCCCCTCACAGATACGGGGTGTGATTTTTGCCAGACAGATGAAAAACTTCCAATTTTACTGTAGCTCTTCTACAAAGTAGCACAAAATAGTCCAATGAAATCTGAAGTAATTGGAACATGAAATTATTTGTCTTCGTATAAGGAAAATTCACAAGAAAATTCTAAAAATAAACCATTGTTGAATACAAGGAGTAATGCTTGGTTTCTTTACATTTAACTAGGAAGATAATGATCCTTTTCTCCCATTTGTAACACTTCAAAAAGACAGATGGGAGGCCCAAGTGCCCCCAAACACTTCCACATTCTGAATTTCTCACAGCGAGCCACGCAGCAAAGCCCTTGCCATGACACTCCACCAGCACTGGCTGWTCTAAAATTAACCCAGGTACTACTAGAAGGCATAAAATAAACAAACAAATAACGATGGCAGTAAACACAACCTGAAATGCAGCCAGTGAACTGCACCTGCCCCTGYGTGGCTTTGCTGTGGTGGTGCCTGGTCACCATTTAAAACATCTCCCCCTGTCCCAGGGCTCACATCACAAGAAATTCAGAGACACCCACAAAGAGCAATGAAATTTGACTTCTGGAATGACAGAGTCTTACATCACTCATTCCAAATGTTAATTAGAGAATGCAAGCAAAATATTTCAGGCACAGTTTTAAAATAATCCCATTATCCTCAACACTCAAGAAGTTTTCATCCCTACACAGAGTGTTCCTGATGCCATCAAGCACATTTAGGTTGTTCGTGTTGTTATTCATCACACAGGTGTGCTGTTCCTTTAATTCATTAAAATAAATTTGCCATTTTTAATGAATTGCACCACTGCAGTTCATTCATGGAAAAGTTCTGAGTAGCAGGAGAAACAAAGCCTGGGGAAATGGAGTGTATAGGGAGGCCTCAGATTAATAAACCAGCAGTGATCCCTACAGATGGAACTGTGATATCCAGGCAGGCAGGGAAAAAAAACAGAAAAAAAAATAGAGATTTAATTATTGTAGTTAAAAACACATCATAAATATACAAGAGCTTTTCCAGCCACTGACAAATGGGGCAGTGAAAGCATCTTGGGAGGATGCAGTGACAACTGTCAGAAACAAAARCTGATCCTGTCTCATGTGAGAAGATAAAGAGGGTTTTCTCTTACASTGCTGCTTCTGGTACTTGGGCTAAAGTTGCTTCTTTATAACTTCATTTTTTTGATAGGCTGAGACTTCTTAAACATTGGTTAATACAGAATAACAGTGGTTCAACTCTAACAAAGCCTACGACTGAATTTCTATAATTAACCCTGATGTTCAGCCAAAAACCTAAGGCTACAAAAGAAACAGGGAAAAAACCAAACTTGCTTTATCTTCCAAACTCCATATCCAATCTTTTCACAGAATCTGSAGAAAACCCCAAGCAGTCTCACACAACCACACATTTTCCACCTATTTTACCAACACTAAATTTAATTTCAGGTTCTACAACACAGCTTTTTATATAGAAAACCAGAAAGCAAGCCAGTGGCAGAGGAAGGTCTCAGTGCTGTGAGCTGACTCACACTGACACCCTTTCCCCCCAACACTTGGGGCTGTTAATGGGTGAAAGGCACCACTGTCCCCTCATTTCTGAGGACACAAGGAGCCTTTGGAGCCAGGACACCACCACCCCACTMGCTGCTTGCCACCTTCCCAAAATAGCTCCAGGAATCGCTCCTAACAGCTGCTAAGTGAGGGACCAAGAAMACGGAGCCAGCCAAGAATCAGAGTTATTCCAGACATGGCACTGGGAGACTTTTTAAGAATCTGGGATGGACACGCTGTGAACAACAGAGATGGAGGAACCATCTGAGTCATAGCACRAGAAAATTTGTTTATGGGCATAGCACTCATCCAGTCACCCTCACGTACAGCCAGTTTTCCAAAATGAGAAGGATGGCACGTGATTAACTTTGTAATCCTAAAGGAGACGGTGCCCACRTTTATGGTTATACACACAAGAAAATGTTTATTTTCTTTCTTACACACCTTCCTAATTTTGCGTAACGATTTAGAAAACTACTGTCCCAAGGCGTGTTGCCGGAAATAGGTAACCCCTTTGAAACAACTCACTGCACGGGTCTCTTTGTGCCCTGAACTACCTGGAGCTTCTGTGGCTACACCGACACGGACACATCTGCTGAGAACTGCACCTGACTGAACGAAAGTCGGGGCGATTTCTTATTATTTACTGTTAAAACTGTTATAATTTCAAGGCTTGTGCCGAGGTTTTGCTGCGGCCGCCCCAACTCTCGAGGTGGGCCCGACAGCCCCCAGAGCGTTCCCCGCCCACACCCAGAGCCCCCCGACCCCCGTTCACCTCCCCGAACCCCGAGATAGCGGGGAAAGGACACAACCCAGCCCCCAGCCACAGCCCAAAGCCCCCCGCGAAGCGAGGCGAGCCGCGGCAGGGCAGGCAGACACCGTCCCGTTCCCCTCAGCGCCGCCGSTACCTCTCGGAGTCGCGCCCGTCGAAGAAGACGAAGTCGCCGCTCTGGACGCACTTGGCGCAGGTGAGGCGGCGGCGCGTGGTGTTGCAGAGCGGACAGCGCTCCACCGCCACGTAGAGACCCTCGGCGTCCTCCTCAGCACCCCGCAGAGCCCCAGGCCCAGGCCCGGCCCCGCTGCCCCCGCCCGGCCCCGCGGGCTGCGGCCGGCGGCCGCTGGGAGCCGCCATGTTGGCGCCGCGGTCACGTGGGACGCTGTTGCCGGGCAGGGCATTGTGGGAAGGGGCGCTGAGGCGGCGGGCGGGAGCGGGGGAGGGCGCGGGATGGGCAGCGCTCCGCCGCGGAAAAAATCGTGATTTTGAATATAAACCGCGCCGGTTTGCTTCTGCAGGAGGAAAGGGAGCGCGCCTGCTCTGCTYTCAAAGCGGTGTGTGTGTTGTATTCCGGTTCTTGCGGCTTTACAGCGGGTAGCCGCAGCCTAACCAGTCAGTAACGCTGCTGAAGGGACTTCGGCTACCGATCAAAGCATGGCCTTATATTTACAATAGTATCCAGACCGCCTTGTACAAAAAGAAAATACAGATGCACATCCTTAAAACAGACACGCGGGTAGATTTCTTCACCTCAGGCTTAATGAGAAATACACTGGATGAAGTGGAGGTGAGGAGAAGGGAGCTACTCCTCTGAATCAGAGAACGGTTTAGGTGGGAAAGAATCTTAAAGATCCTCTCATTCCACCCCCCCTGCCCTGGAAAGGGACACCTTCCACAATCCCAGCTTGCTGCAAATCCTGTCCACCATGGCCTGGAACACTTCCAGGGATCCAGGGGCAGCCATAGCTTCTCTGAACAACCTATGCCAGGGCCTCACCCCTGCTTCTGAGTAAATATTGTTTTTCCTACTAATATGAACCTACTCTCAGTTTAAAGCCATTTCTCCTCTTCTGTCTATAGTGGGAAACACCAGGCCAGCAGAGACAGAGTCCACACAAGCCCAAATAACTTGAAGCTATTATTCTCCTTTGCAGAAGAAACCCAAACCCAACATGCCTTACTTTGGTTGTTTTTGCTTTTTTTGAGAGATTCCCAGCCTACCCAGCCTGTATTTTTTTCCCTTCCTAGTGTTATCAAACACTAGCAGGAGCAGCCCGATGAAGGTAACATTAAAGATTGTTGTTTTTAAGACAAGAGTTACCATAGCAAACATGAACTTAATCAGTAGCTCAGTGAAAAGGCACAGAGCCCATTTCTTATCTCTATGGCTTTATCCATACTTCTAAAGAGCACTAATTTTACCAGTGAGATCATGGGGCAAGCTCTTAAGCAAAATGTGATTTCTTGAAGAGGGCTCATCTTAGATAAACTTTTTTTCCCCCAGCACTTCCATAAAACCAGGGTGTTTTCACTTACAAAAGATTATTGTAACTAAAGCTCATCAGCTATTACAGCTACAATGCAAATAAAAGTCCGGCCCATGGCTGTGGAAAGTCTACAGTGTTAGAAAGTAAACAGAAAAGTTAGCCAGTGTTTAAAATAGATTTGAGTGTGGAAATCCAGTTTGACAGGGAAAGTGATAACAGCTAAGACCAGTTTATCACGAGGAAGTGCACAAAGTTTTTCAGACTTTTTTTCCCAAAGAAGCAGAGAGATAGATAAAAAAYACTTGTGAGAGACACTTAACAGACACAGAAGATGAAGTCATACCCTCACCGAATCAGAAATAAACTTGTGGCTGCAAAACTAAGCCCAGCAAGGCCCTGTTCTGTGTCGAGGAGGATACAGACAAAATACATCCCGTGTGTTTCCAGCAGGGACAGAGGTAGCTTTTGGCCTGGGTTACACTTAAATCATGTAAGAGCAACCTCTAGTGGTGTTTCCGTTCAGGTAGCACACCTTCAGGAGGGAAGGACACRGGGCAAACTCTGCTGGAGTGCTTCCAGGGAGTTTCCAGCACAGCCATGGGATAGGCTTTGCACTGCTCCTACTCACATCCCCACYCTGAGCTGGACACCTTCTGAAAAGAAAGGCTTCAGTCCAAACCKAGTACAGGAAACACTATTGTTTTTGCTCCAGAATTACCAGGTGTAGTGCCACTGGCTGAACTCTGGTTAAATAATACAGATAATTAAGTWATGAGCATCCAAGTTTTCTTGTATTTTCCTCAAATTCATTTTTAACAAAGTTCCAAATCAACATGCTTTTGTCTGCACTAAACTCCCATCATCTGAGGGCATTTCACTMGTGCAAGTGGGTACCATTTACTTAAAATCTAATTTGTGTCATGTCAAATTAGATAATTTAATTAGATACCCCTGCACCCACAGATTTTCTGGGTATATTCCAGCAGTCAGAACCTGGAATGCCTTCTCTGTAAAAGGAAGTCATACATCACACATAAGAGTTTACTCAGCCAGTAGGATCAGAGTAATTCAGTACATGTCCTCTAAATAGCAAAATCAACTCATGCTGGATTTTGTAAGCCATATTATAAACAATAATATGTTTTGAGCTTAAACATGAAAATACAATATCTTTTGAGCTTAAACATTGCAGGAACAATTCAGGACACTTAGAGCTGAGGATTTTGATTAAGCCAGTTTGAAGTRCAGGGTGGATTCATCTATTCAACAAGGGAAGAGACACATCTATTACAAAATATTTTTAAGTGCYACCTTAGTATACCTTCTATTAAAAAGTGCATTCATTTATCAAGTTTTTTTAGCTTGACAGAAGTTGTCAGAACTCAGGTGGATTACAGATATAAACAGAAAGAAGAAAACATTTGACAAACTACAGAAAGTCATCAGAATATGTAGCCTTCAAAAATGCATCATTTGCTTAATAGTCCACAACTGTACAATTGGGTCCAGGAATATCTTGGCTTCTGTTCCATGCACAGCAACACAAACCCATGGTGTTATTCTGAATTGCTTTATGAGCCATGTCACGATGGTTTCTTGAAACCTTTTAAAATAGGGTAGATGTTTTCAAATGCCTCATAGATTTCAGAACGCTCTTTTGCTCCTAAATGGACATTTAAGGAAAAAAAAACACCACAAGAATTAGCAGGGTGCTGAGAATAACCGAATGCAATTTAAACTGAATAAGATTACAAACCATGAAGAAACCCAGGAGATTGAAAGCACCTTACTGTTAAAGGCAGAATTTCTACCTGCCACTTTAAAGAGCAATTTCTAGCTTGCTTTGCTTTAAAATTAGTTTTGTTTAATCTGCGGAACCAAAACAGCAATTTTCTGCTCTTGACAGGTGCAAAATATTGGCTTTGAAGAAGGAAAAAAAGCAACTGAGCACCATCACAGTGTTATCTGCTTAAGAATAACAGCTCTGCCTGTTGATAAGGTTAGTGGAAAGGTAGAAACAAGAAATGAAAGGCCTTTATTTTATAGTGGAAGTTGTTCCACAGCTTGAGAACTCTTCTCCTCCAGCTCTGAAAAGCAATTTTAATTTTAAGCTGTGTTTGAAATCAAAGGTGTCCTAAGTCTTTTCCATGGTACTGCAATCAAATCTTTAATACAAAATCTTGCACACAACCTGCATTGCAGTAGGCAGAAACATTCCTTGCCAGTCACAGTTTTCATGCTGGTCCAACAAACATCAGCTACAAGAAAATTGCATTTAAATGAACTAAAACTGGAATTAAGCCCTGCTCAGATTGAATGTGTAAACTCTCTCATGTTCTCACTTGAACGTGAATAATTCATCTGCCTTACCACAACTTTTACTTTTGAAAGTAAAGTTACTTTCTTGATTAGGGCAAAAAAAACCCTGAACAGCTCAGCAAATTCAGTTTTGTCATCACAGCTGGACCCAGTATTCACAGAAGAGGACTCAGGGAATGTGTAGCAGGCCCTGAAACAAGGGTGTTACAATTAGTGTACCCCAAAAATGCAAGTATCAGTGGAATGGAGCTTGGAACTGACCAGTATGACTTTACTGGACCTAAGAAGGTGGTGGACATTGGAGGGGGAAGCATTTCATCTTTGTCCTGAGTGCCTCATTCTTCACGTAGCTGAGTTCATTCCCAATTTATAGTTGTGAGAATCTCTGGCTAAGGCAGGCACTTCTCTTGCTTTCCACAGAGCTCAAAGCTGTGTTGTGAATATAAACACAGCATTCAGAGCTTCTGGGAACAAGTACCATTTACCTTGCAGTACATCTGGATAGCAGTATTTTCATGAGCTTCACAAAAAGGATGTGTCAGGAGCTCAGAATTCACCTTTTTTGACCTGGGATATGAGGTACAGGTATCTGCTGAGCACACTTACTCAGCAAAGCTTTTGCCTCCATAAATATTTTGCCAAACAGTTTGGAACAAGCTCTGAGATCTCCACCCTTTCCTCTGATAATCCCTACTAAATGTTGTCAGTAAAGTGTTTTAAGAACTTTGTTTCCTGTCCAAGCAATTTTAAATTGCTTATTGTGAGGCTCCTATTTAAGTGCCTGAGTAGTTGCTGGCATGACAGCATCCTKTTGGCATTCTGTATGTTGGCACGTGGCATCAGGCTTGGAATAAAAAAAAAAAATACTTAACATGGAAATCTGAGACTCTATATATGAAACAATATGAGATCCTAGTGCAACAATACTGATGTTATCTGCAGAAAACACAGATAAACAACAGCGCCATTGAAGAGATCCCCAAGTGGCTTTACTGTGGCAAGATACTAATTTCTAGTTAATGTTTAATTTAAATGCTTTCTCAGAAAATGAGGTAGCACTTGGCTACAGATGCAGAGAGGCACCACTTACCAGTCAGTACAACCTTTCCAGACACAAAGATAAGCAGCACTATCCTTGGTTTGACCATCCTATAAATCAGGCCAGGGAATAGTTCAGGTTCATAGCTGTTCCAAAGCAAGCAGGTTAGATTAGTAAAATGCAAATACTGTTTTCAGTGTTGTTATGAATAAAATGCTCTTTTAATTACACTAACAAYAGAGTAATTAACCCCACAGATTTTAGCAAGCTGCCCTGAGAAAAGCAAGTCAGTTTTAGACATGTTGAAGAGAAAGCTGTTAAACTAAGCTGGAGGGAGATCTTCATGCTGAGTTTTAAAGATTTGTGAACCACTTCTGATTTTCCATAGCATTGAAACCTTTATAGTAATGTTCAAACAGTCCACAAATCATGGAATGGCCTGGGTTGGAAGGGACCTTAAAACTCACCCAGTTCCACATCCTGCCATGGGTGAGTCCTGCACCTTCCACTACCCCAGGG